CCTAAGTTGTAAATAAACAAAACATTTGCCAAATAACTAATAATACTTAAGACAAAGAAAATACAACATTTCACAATTTTAAGTTATGCTGCAGAATAAATCAGATCTTGGTTTTTTTTTTTTTTTGTTTGTTTTGTTTTTTTGCATGACCTGAATTACACTGAGAAAATCCCGATAGGCTCAAACAAAACAAGAAAAGCTAAAACATCAGCAGTAATTATTACTGAAAAAGGTTTGGAAACTGGATCCAGATCACTTAGCAATGACAGGTCATAATTTCACCATCACAGAAGTCCGTATTTAGGTTCAATAACCCATCAGCTATAAAAACCTCTCCATGCACCATTTCTTCAGTATGAAGAAAGACATTTCAAACAATTTGCATACATTTCTGGCTGTTTTATGTTTCTTTACGTATGTTCTTTGTGCTTTGATGCCTGTTTCTTGTTACTTCTCTGTTTTCATGCTTCTCTTTGTTGTTGTTTGCTGTTCTAATAGGAAATTTCAAAATGAATTTCAGTCCAAAAGTCTGTGTCCAATATGCTCATTCAAATAGCACCATAGTCTGTATTTTATTGTGATGTTTTTGATGACTTAGGAAGCTATTTTTAGTATCACTGGTATCACATAGCAGGCTGCCATTGATGCCTGGGAGAACACCATGGTAACAGAGCGGATTGACAGTTTGGATTAAACCACGTGTCAAAAAGGCAAACTGTTCTTTTACCCTATCACACGCAGAAAAGTCCGAGAGCTTGCAGAGATAACTGGTCCAGGGGAGCATCCCAGACGTGACCCTTTTCAGCTCACCCTACGAGGTCACATGGGATTCCAGGGCCAGAAAGAACGTATTATCGCTCCAGTCAGTTCTAATCCCGCCTCAAGGTCTCGTCCTAGTGAAGTGCTCTTCTAAATAAAAGGCCTCTATAGCTTCCCTTGATAAGGAGAAACTGTTCCATCTCTTACTTCGTCCTAGCATCAAGAAACCGAAGCTCCTGTTGAGAAAGAGCCTTACTCCCAAAACAATGGGGGGATTCTACCAACTGCAAGACCTGGGCTGAAAGACCATATAAACCTTCTTCACGTGCTCCAAAGACAACTAAAACTACAACTTAACCCACACCGTAAATAAATACAATTATCCTTTGGTTTGGTATGAGGAGTGATCCTGAGTTAAAGTCGAATCTTTAACATCTTTGGCTGGTAATTTATTTGATACTGGAAAAAAAAAACTAAAATTTAATCATTCACTGAAATCACAGGCTTACTTCCCCTTTGTTCTGCAATAAGTTTCATATTAATTTCATTCATTCTCATCTTTGTCTTTCCTCATTTGTATCCGTCTGCCATTTCTTGCTTTTGTTTTCTTTCTTTTCTTCCATCCACTGATGATGCCTCTCCCTCCATATTGTTTTTGTAGCTCACAGTGCATCACTTCATCATTTCCGCACTGGGTTTTGGCAGCGACCGGGGACCTCTCTCCCTCTCTCTGTCGCTCTCGCTCCACTGTTTAGGGGATGTAATTCATCTCGAGTCACACACACATTCATATAGTGTGTGCACTGTTTTACACATAACTCACACGAGCTCAGGGACAAAATGCATGCTCAGCTGCACTTGTATCTCACCAGTCACACTTATTTGCACATTCCTACGAGCACACATGTTCCAGCAGCTCTGTCACTGATCTGATGAACTGTCTGTTTTCTCCACTCCTGTCTCCAGAGTGTGTGAGTGTGTGTGTGTGTGTGTGTCATTTTTTTCTCACTTAACATCTCTGAATCAGTACCTTTTTGTGTCAGAATAAACTGAAACCAATCAGATTGCTCTAGACCAGGGGTGTCAAACTCATTTTAGCTCAGAGGCCACATTGAGGGAAATCTAGTCCCAAGTGGGCCGGAACGGTAAATTAAAAACAACTTCAGATTGTTTTCTTTGTTTTAATACAATCAATATAAAACAAAGCTGGAGCCTGAGGACAGTGTATCCAAAATAGTACAAGTACAACACCTGAAGTGTACTTGAAAATTTGAATAAAAATAAATAAAATAAAATAAAATAAACATTCCTTAGTGAGTCAAAGAGCTTACAGATGACATGGCAAGATCAGTTTCATGCAGCACTTAAAAGTATATTTGACTCATTTTACTTTACATCTTTTAGCTTTCACCAGCACATCAATATCAGAAGTCACATCCTGAGTGGCGGCCAACTTCAGGATGTGATTCAAGTTCTTGTGTGAGCCTTGAGTGCAGCTTTGTTTTATTTATACTCATTACAGAGAAAACTTGCTCACAATGATAAGTTTATTTTCACTCTACATTGTAAAGTATGAAAATAAAGTTTACACAACCATCTCGTGGGCCAGATTTAACCCGCTTGCGGGCTGGATCCGGCCCGCGGGCCATATGTTTGACACCCCTGCTCTAGACCTATACATGTAAACATTTATTCAGTTTCCTTTAGTTTATCTACAAATGGTATCCACTCCCAACAAAACTCATCTAAAAGTGCATTTATATTCTAAAGCTGCTTAGATATACATGAAACAACTTTTCTATCTGTATGTATCCATGTGAAACAGTTTGTGTTATAATGCATGAACGTCATGATGAGGATTGAGTTTTTGTGTTTCGGTTTTCTTATCCTGCATGCAGCCTATAGGCCTGTTTACCAAAAATAACTACCTCATTATTATTCAGTTATTAACTTTTAGCAATGCATTACCCTGTTTATCCCTTTTTTTTTTTTCAAATATTTTCTTGATGCCTGTTTGTCTGGTTTAAAATATTTTTTACAGCGGTTTCCAATCCTGATTTTTGAAGTCTGTAATCTTTATGTCCTATTCATTTTCTTTCTGCAACTCATCTGATTCAATAGATCCATTTAAAGATGTTGTGATCCAGTCTCAAACTTAGAATCTAGGTCTTGGTATGACATTCTTTAGTTGATTAATGTTGGATTGGATTGAAGAAACCCAGCTCCTTGCCTCTACTACTGACCTGCTGTCTATGGCTTTATCAGTTGTGCTGCAATCCTGCAGCAACTCTTCCCTGGAGTTACTCTCATCAGGACCTGGGACAGGGCTCAGGGAGATTAACAACCAAGGAAAATTCTGAAAGCAGCATATTAGAATCTCAGACTACATTCACACAGCAGGCAAAAGTGCATCAAATCCAACGTTTTTCCCCCACATGCATGATTTTTATTCAACTCAGGTCACTTTCAAAGCAACTTCAGTCTGAATGGCGATAAATCATCTCACACTTCATTAACTCGACCGAGATGAGCTGACAGAAGCATTCTGAGGTCTGTCTGGACATCCTGAAATTGTGAATGAACCTTTAGTCAATAAAGCCTTCCACATCACAACTCCGCCACTCCAGGATCCGAATCCACAGAGCAAGTTGTGTGTAAATTCTGGTCTTCTTCTACATGTGCAGGCGGCTTTAGGACTGGCAACCATTTACACAGGAGAGTGGTTGCTGTTGCATTTCAGTTATAATGTGAACAAACACACATGTTTCCTTTGTATTTGAGTGGGTTTTTGGTAGCCTGGCAAGCTATCCTATATATGTGAAAACATAGCCTGGTCATGACCCATAGACAGAGCTCAGCCTTGGAGCTTGATCTACGATTATCTTTCAAACTGTCTCTGCATGCTGTTGGACAACGATCAACGTGATGTACTCACTGCTACAGACGTCATTCAACGGGGCAGTCCGCCATACACTGTCAAAGAAGATGCAAATACATCCTTTTTCTAAATAAAGGACATAAGTACCTCTATTTGCTCTTTACTGAAAGAAAAGCCCAAGTTTAAATAATTAGAAGTTAATGCCAGAGCCGGTTCGAACTAGCCGCCGCAATCTTTGTTGTTTTGCTCCATCACAGCAAGATCCCACCCACCAAACTGATAGAGTGCTGTGATTTGCATGACACAAACCTGCTCAGGCCACTTGTAGGTCATCTGAGGCTCTAATGGAGCATGGCTAGACCAACATGCATTAGTAAAATCGTTTTGCTAATGCTACAGTCTGTCTAGACATCAAGGCTAGGTTTTGCATGTCAGTTTTTAAAGAGCTTATGGAAACAAAATTATTTATGGAGTGACATTGACTATTTTATTAGACCAATTAGAGGTATAAAATATTGTGCTTGGTGAGAAATATTATATATTTTGTGATTAGCCAAATAAACCTTCCAAAGATTAGTGGAAAAACATAACTTGACATGAATTATTTGACATTTTTTCTGCACAAAAACACAAAATAGCCCTTTAGATAATCTATTAGGATTCCTAAAGGGTATAACCTTGCTTCTTATTTAACCTTACTACCTGACACAAGTTCTCATTTATTCTCTTCTTTTATTAGGTGGAATACGATGGTCTGACAGGTCACATTGAGTTCAACAGCAAAGGACAGAGAACCAATTATACCCTGAAGATCTTGGAGAAACACCCCGCAGGACATAAAGAGGTCAGAGATCAAACAGGGTCACACTGTTAGCTGAAAGGCCAGAGATTAAATTAGCAGTAATAAAGTAAATTAGCTGTTAATTAACACTACAGAGTATTTCATGTAAAGGGCTAGAAACCACTGTACATGGTCAATTAAAAACAAATTGGTAAAAACTCAGTTCTGCTGCTGTCACTGGTCGCTTACCTTGGGCTGAAGGGGTGATATCTGATCCCAGAATAACATTAAAAGACAGATATCATCAGCAAATGATACAGGGTCAAATGGGGTTATCGCCTGAGTTTAAGTGGGTGGTAAATATTTAGGAGATGGTGGTAACCCCCACACTGTATTCTGGCAGTTCTTTGAACACTTAGATTTAGTGATTCTTCAGCTAGAATGTTTAAATTTTGGGTAAAACATGTTTCAACCTCCTGACATTTCTTTGCTTGCCATACTAGTCACTTTGACACTTTTCTTTCTTTCTTTCTTTCTTTCTTTCTTTCTTTCTTTCTTTCTTTCTTTCTTTCTTTCTTTCTTTCTTTCTTTCTTTCTTTCTTTCTTTCTTTCTTTCTTTCTTTCTTTCTTTCTTTCTTTCTTTCTTTCTTTCTTTCTTTCTTTCTTTCTTTCTTTCTTTCTTTCTTTCTTTCTTTCTTTCTTTCTTTCTTTCTTTCTTTCTTTCTTTCTTTCTTTCTTTCTTTCTTTCTTTCTTTCTTTCTTTCTTTCTTTCTTTCTTTCCATTTGACCAGGTGTTGACCTGATTAACACAGTGGAAATGAGGCTTTCCAGACTAATCAGACTCAATCAACTATAATCAAATTTGCACAATCCATACGACAAAACAGGCTCATCTAGAGTAATCATTTGTGACATCTTCATCAGTAGATAATATTTACCCCACTGTCATGAAAGTTTAGTTATTTAGGAGGCTTCAATTTAAATTTAGTACAAAATGGAAGTCAATTTTACTATATTTCTTTAAAATATTGTATGTACCGTGCAGCGGACATTACAGATGCTTCTAAGTCCATAGAGCTGAGGGCAACTTCTGGAAAGGATGGTTTTTGCACAGCATAGTCCGTCCAGTCCTTGTTCCTGACCATGACTGAATATTCTGTCATGGTCAGATTAGGGGTGGGTACCTTTGACATTTGAATCGATCCGGTACTAATTCCCGGTACCTAGGAATCGATACCGGTACTTAACATTACCAGTTTTCGATACTTTTGAGTGTTTATTATTTTAATTCCGTTTTATAATTAAATTTTTTTTTCTCAATATATAACCATATTTGATAAATATCACGATAAATAACATACAACTGTTTGTATTTTAACATCGTCCTTGTAGTTTTATAAGTTGATAATTAAACTGAAGCAAACATCTTTACTGTGAACTAAATTTACTGTGTATCTTCATTCCTTTTACCATCCTTTTTCATTTGATTTTTCCTACTGGGAAGTTAGAATTTCCGAGGAGAAAGCGAACGCACCATTAGCTGATAACGGTGGCAATAGAAGCTAACATATCAAGCTAACGTTATCTTAAACAGTTTATTTAGCTGCTGGAGCAGATTAAAACGATGATGCCTCACACTTAGATCGTTGTCACTGGTTACATCTTCACCCAATCACCCGTCACATTTAGTAAAGTGAAGCCAAACTTTAGAGCGCGTTCATGTTCTTCTAGTCGGAAATTCGGAGTCCGAGGAGAAAGCGAACGCACCATTAGCAAAATGGAAGCTAACATATCAAGCTAACGTTATCTTAAACATTTTATTTACCTACCGGAGCAAATTAAGATGAGGATGTCTCACTTAGATTGTTTTCGCTGGTTTCATCATCACCCAGTTACCCATCACATTTAGTGCAGTTGACCCAAGCTTTAGCGTGCGTTCTTTCTACCATGCTGCTCTGTTTACAACTCGCTCACAGCGAGCGACGACATAACGCTCTTGCACATGCGCAGCTGTCTTGGCAAGTTCTCGTTGTGAAGGACGGGTACCGAAACGAGGCACCGTTTGAAATGACGTGAATCGGTGCTCGGTCGGTACTATGGAATTCGGTCAGTACCTTAAAAAGTACCGAATTCGGTACCCATCCCTAGGTCAGATACAAGGACTGTAAGTGAAAAATGAGTGAAACTAAATCAGGTAAAGTTTACAGAAAGTCTTTCAAAGACCTTCAGAAAGCCTAGAGAGTTATTGGTCAAGATCACTTAAAATCATAAGAAAGCCTTCCTCCTTGAAAGGAAAGGAAAGCAAAAATGTGACTGCAAAGAGAAGAAACAACACCCTTTGGACTGAGTGCTGTATTTTTAACACATGCTCTGACTCATGTCGTGTTAATGCTGAACAAATTTCAGACTCCACAAATCTCTTTTTCCAACAACTATTCATCTTTCTGTTTTCTGATTGGTCCATTTAGATTGAGCATCACATGAAAACCAGAATGACAATTAGCATATTTTCACATTTTATATGTTATAGATTTCTCAAGTGGGTCTTAGTGCCTCTTCTCAAAGCTAGCATGATGACCCAGCTTTTGATGAGATCATGCTGGATCTTCTCCAACAGAGCATCCAGATCACCTTTGGATTGAGAGTTTGCTCAGGAAGTAGAGCAGGAAGCCCAACTTCCTTAGACAAAACAATTAAACTAAAAGTTTAAGAAAAACATTTTCACTTGAACAAGTTAAGAGCTTTATGCAAAGACAATAGAAAACACTTGAACAAATATTTTCAGGTCTGTAAATGTCCAATTTTTTCTAAATGGAGAGGACAGGAACCAGTCCCAAGGGGGCATTTTAGTGTCTTATGGTTTCAGCTTCTGGTCAATTGTAAATAAAGGATCAATTGTAGTGTATTGAGAGTCAAACACTGAATGATATTAATTTTGAATTAATTACTTGGTTTTTTTTATTCATTTAAAAATATTCTGGTTCTGTTTTATTTTCCCTTTCCCAAAATTTTGTCTGACTCTCATTTTTCCTTCTTCTCCAAAGATTGGTACTTGGTACTCCAACAACACTCTGGCCATGAACTCCACTTCCTTGGATCTTAATGCATCAGAGACATTGGCCAACAAGTCCTTAATTGTCACAACAATACTGGTAACACAAAGCTGTCAAATACATAGTTTAATTCATGTTGAACATGGCTGAGTCAACAGTTGTATTCTTTTTCTCTGACAGGAAAGTCCCTATGTAATGCGCAAGTCTAATTACCAGAACTACCAGGGTAATGACCAGTATGAAGGTTTCTGTGTGGACATGCTGAGGGAGCTTGCAGATGTCCTGAAGTTCTCCTTTAAGATCAAGTTGGTGGACGATGGGTTATATGGAGCTCCTGAACCCAACGGTAGCTGGACCGGGATGGTGGGAGAACTTATCAACAGGGTGGGTATTAATTGATGGAATGTCTTTATACTGTCTCATGAAAAAACAAAAATTATCTTGTTCCAGGCCATAAAATATTGTTTGAAATGTTGTCTCCTTGAAAATGGTGAAAATGTTTCCTTTCAAATCATATTTTCATCTGGGCTGCCACCTTACAGGGGTTTGAGTGTCCCAATGATCCTAGGAGTTAAGTTGTCTCAGGCTTAATGCCTCTGGTAGGGTCACCCATTGCAAACAGGTCTTAGGTGAGTGATCAGACAAAGTGCAGCCCATAGACCGCATATGAAGAAAAATATAAATGAAAACCACATTCCCTCGCCCAGACGCCCCTCTGGAGCCAGGCCTGGAGTTGGGGCACGGTGGCAAGCACCTGGTGGCTGGGCTTTTACCCAAGGAGCCTGGCCGGCTACAACCTGAAGAGGAGACATGGGTCCTCCTTTCCATGAGCTTACCTCTCATGGGAGGGGCCAAAGGGTTTGGGTGCATTGTGTTTCTGGTGGTAGTCGAAGGCAGGGACCTTGGTGGTCTGATCCTTGGCTACAAAGGGAGTGTCACCTCTCTGGAGGAGAAAGGGCCGGAGATGGTGTGTGAGGTTGAGTGGTTCCACCTAGATATAGTTGGACTCACCTCAACGTATGGCTCTGTCATCATAACCAGTTTCCTTGAAAGGGGTTGGACACTCCATCGCTCTGGAGTTGCTCCCACTGAGAGGCTCCGAGCAGGGGTGGGCATACTAGTTGCCCCCATCTTGGTGCCTGTATGTTAGGGTTTGCCCCAGTGAATGAGAGAGTAGCCTCCATAAGCTTACGTGTGGTGGATGGGACTCCAGAGGCAGCTGCTGGGTACCGTCAGTCCAAGCGGAATGCAGATCCCGTGGTCGCAGAGGCAAAAACTCGGGCACGGGAGGAGTTGGGTGAGACCATGGAGCAGGACTTCGATATGGGTTTAAGGAGATTCTGGTCCATCATCCAGTGTCTCAGGAGGGGAAAGCAGAGCGTCACCAACACTTTTAATGGGGATAGTGTGCTGCTAACCTCTACTCGGGACATTGTTGATCGGAGGGCGGAATACTTCAAAGACCTCCTCAATTCCACCAGCACATCTTCTAGTGAGGAAGCGGAGTCTGGGGATTTTGGCCTGGACTCATTGTCACTGGAATCACATTTTAATCTTTTGAGAAAGTTTGCCCCAAAGCATTTTTTAAAATTAAAAGTAATTTTTGTGACGCACATAATCAATATTGTAAACTCAAGCTCTTTATTTTTTATTTATTTATTTTCTAAAAAAATATTTTTTATTGTATTTCAATTAAAAACAGGATATATATATATATATATATATATATATATATATATATATATATATATATATACTCTTTCTGCAGCACTGAGTCCTCGTAAGTTTGCTTCTAGTTCTGACACTTACTTATTTTCTGTACCCTGGACAGGATCTTTTCTCTGCTGTAAACAGGTGAGAGGCGGGTAACAGCCAGGAGCTTTTGCTAGTTATTTGTGGAGCCAATAAGGAGTCACACAGCACAGTTTACTGTGCTCTTTCAGGCTCAATCCAAGGTCAATTTGCAATCAGTACTCAACCCAAAACACGTGTTTTGTGACTGTCGGGAGTAAAATCTATGTAAGCATAAAAAAAATAATAAAAAAACAATTGCACAGAGAACATGCAAACTCCAAGCCAAGAAAAAAAGTTGCAATGTTCTTGCTGTGAGATGACAGCCTACCTACTGTAAGTCCTTCAGTTCTACCTACTCCTAGTTCTGTCAGTCCAAATAACAATTACTTGACCTGCTGATGTCATCTCTGCTGCTGCTGGGCTCATTGACAAGGTCCTTTCAGATGCACGCCTTTGCTTAGTTTGTCCTCATCCACCTTTTCTCCATCGCACTCCCGTCACCGTCTTGGACGTCTTTCTTTTCTGCTCTTCATTCGCTCTCCCTCTGTGATAGCCTGGCGACAGCACAAACATCTTTCTTTAGAAGAAAGGCTTTTAGCGCTTCTACTTGTTGTTTTAAAGACATTCAAGTCATTTAGAACAGAGGAAAGAGCCGCAGCAAACTCTGCCTCAGTCGCCATGTTTATGACAAACTCGGCATTATGGTGTGTGACGTACGCTGCTCAGTGCTGATTGGCTCGGTTAGAATTCTCAGGGATGGAGTTATTTGAATAGGAGGGTTCCCAGACTCTTTCTCTGTGCAGAATTAAACAAAGGAGGAGTCTGGCAGGCCAGGCTACCTATGTGAGGCCTGCATTAGTTAAATCCTCTTGGGGTCCACTACCATTGTCCATTTATTTGTTGTACCTTGGGATTTTTTGTCACTAGGTACTTCGGCATCAGTCAAAAAAATAAATAAATTAATTAAAAAAAACACGACAGTCCTTCAGATGTTTAGCAAATGTTAGCTATTAACGTCTACAAAAGTTTAATGGGGTTTTTTTGCAAATAGCTCTGATTGTCGCCATGATTTCAAGCTTCTGAACTATTTTTTTTCAACAATGTGACCAGAAACAGAAAAAGAAACATGAAAGCTGCGTGGGAAAGCAAAACACGAGTAGAATTTTGTTTACTGCATCAAAGCCTTCATCAAGTTCAAGTGTGACCACTCGGAAAATTTTTCACGTTCAAAAGCTGCAAATTGAATTTGGCTGAGCACACACACACACACACACACACACACACACACACACACACACACACACACACCAGCATCCCTCATTGATTTCTCTAACGCTGATTCTGCATTAGTTGTTATGGCAACAGGCAAGGGTGAGGGGTGCAAGACGTGGGCTTTGAGTCGCTGACAGTGATGGCACCCTTAACTGCAACAGAAGCGTCAGCCAATTAGACAAGCAGTGGAGTGTTAGAAAGCTGCTGGACCCTGATCAGCAGAGACGCGGCGATGCTCAGGACGTATTAAGTGGCTCAGCTGAAGCTCAATTTCCCCAGTTAGTTGTTTTCTCAGCAAAAGTGGCTCATTTTAAGTTGAGTCTAATTAAAGCTGCGCAGAGAATTGCTTGCAATGAAAGCTGTGAGAGGAAGTGAGGATGATAAGATGTGTCAGGACATGTGCATGTGTATTTGTGTTTGTGAGTGCTTACAAGGACCCTTTTTAACCCTCTCAGGCTGAAAATAAGTTTTGATAAAAGGACGAACAACTAAGTCCTTCAGAGGTACTTCTGAGTTAAAAATCCTCATGAAATACGTATGTGGAGTAACCAGGTAGGTAGGTTTTAACGTTGCAAATCTGCAACGCCGGCCTCCAGAGGGTTAGGCTTTAAACTGGAAAACAAGGGCATTCTTGTGATTTGAAGACATAACTGGAACATTGGATGATAGGAGGGACTAAACTTAGGTTTTATTTTCCTTGATATTCAACGAATGATGCAACATTTCATTCTGAGTATGCCAGCAGATATGATCTGAGTTGAGGTTAAACCTGTGGGCTATGTGAAGGACAAGATCACTCCTGCATGGATGCTTTATTACATCACCGCTTGCTTGAAGTATTTATTTTTAAATGCTGGTGTAGGATTAACCTGGTATTTACTGTGGGGCAAAAAAGTATTTAGTAAGCCAACAATTGTGCATGTTTTCTCACTTTAAAACATGAGAGAGGCCTGTCATTTTCGTCATTCCCCATGTTACACCCCTCCAGGCCTAGGAATTACCAGGAGGGGCAACACAAGTGTGGTGGGAGCAAACACAAGGACAAATAAAAGTTTAAAAGGAGTTTATTAACTAAAAAGTGTCCCTGGCAGGTATAAATAAGGTAGATGAAAATAATAATGCCAGAGGTCTGATTAAATCTATTACTCTAAATATAAGTCAAAAGTTCTGGGCAAGGCCCCACACTCGTACGATACCCAGCCCGGGGTAAGTTTCCTCCTTCTGTTCCTGTGTTACTCCAGCTGTGACAGGTGTCTCACGCTCTCCCTTTTCTCTCTCTCTTTCTGGAAGCCGGTGGTTCTCCTCCAGAAAAGATCTCTGTGTCGGTATAAAAGGCAAGTCTCTAGTTCTCTCGGTTTCCCTCTGGTTGTGGTGAAAAGGCGATCACAGGTTTTCCCCGTTTCGTCCCTCGTCTCTAATCTCTCCGTATCGTTCCTCTGCTGCTCGTCTCGTGTGCTCGTTCTCTGTTCGATCTCCGGCTGCTCCTCTCCATGACTCTCTTCACGACTCTCTCCAACTCTCTCCTCTTCAACTCTCCTCTCACGACTCCTGATGAGTGCTGATTATCCACAGCTGGTGTCCGCGGGATGGCGGGAAGGGTGCGTCTCAGCGTGCCTCTCTCCATGGTGCTGATCCTCTGTCTCAGCGGGGCCCGAGCGAGGAGCTGTCCATGGTGTGGTGGTTTACAACGGAGCTCAGGAACGCAGAGGTCATGACACCCCAAATACAAAAGACAAAATGAGGAAACAAAAATCCAGAAAATCACATTGTCTGATTTTAAAGAATTTGTTTGTAAATTATAGTGGAAAGTAAGTAGCACGCCGGTTCCAGATTGGTTCACACCACAGTGCACCCCTACACATTTGCAGCCATTGGTTGAATTTGCGACATTCTTTACAATCACCACATTGCAGATTTCTAGAGGATCCGTCAAACACATCAAGCAAAATCAATGTCGCAAAGTTTGCATCCTGTTTTTGGTCAGGTTCATGCACCCGGCCTGGCATACTTGTTTGTTCATTTATTTGTATGTTTTTATGAATACATTTCTAAAAAAAAAATACAGTGTTGATGAGGAAATCCTTTAGAAACAACAACAAAAAATTATGATTTTTTAAAATATATGTTAGAAAGTGGACAAGGCCAAGGTTTTAAACGCTGCCCATTGCAAAAAGGCACTTTACAAGTCGGCTCAGGGTCATCGTTCTAAACAGCTGTTCGTGTGTGTGTGTGTGTGTGTGTGTGTGTGTGTGTGTGTGTGTGTGTGTGTGTGTGTGTGTGTGTGTGTGTGTGTGTGTCAAAAAGAGAGAATGAGGACA